AGAGGAGTTGAAAAAAGTCAAGAACGACAAAGAAGACAACAAGGAGGAAGGCTGGCGTACCGTCGAGAAGCCGAAGGAGAAGTGCAAAAACGGAAGGAAAAAGACGTGAAGAAGAAAGCTGAACAGAAGAAGGAGATATCCAGGACTCGTCGGGAGCGAAGTAAGGGCGATGCTCTGATCGTCGAAGCTAAGGACAAAACGTCGTATACAGCACTCCTCCGGAAGGTACGAGAGGATCCGGAGTTGAAGCAACTAGGAGAGAACGTGGTGAAAACCCAGAAAGGCGAGATCCTCTTTGAGCTGAAGAAGGATCCTGCTATCAAGAGCTCGTCAAAAAGTCTCTTGGCGAAGAGGCGAGCGTAAGAGCTCTATTCCAGGAGACAGTGGTCGAGTGCAGGGACCTGGACGAGATCACCACAGAAGAGGAGCTAAGAAGTACGTTGAGAGTGCACTGCGATCTGGGAGATGTCCCGATGTCAATCCGCATGAGGAAGGCGTACGGCGGCATGCAAACGGCGGTTATACGGCTTTAGACAGTTGCAGCGAATAAACTGTTGGAGACGGGCAAGGTAAAGGTTGACTGGTCATTGTGCTCGCTGAAAGCCACTCCTCGGGTTACCAAGCAACTGGAGCGATACTTCAAGTGCATGGGATTCGGTCACCAGGCGAGGAACTGCAATGGCCCTGACAGATCTGATCTGTGCAGGAAATGCGGAGAGAAAGGCCATATTGCAAGAGGCTGCACGAAGCATCCGAGGTGTATGCTCTGCAAAAAAAGAGGACGGTAACGATCATACGACGGGAGGCTTCAAATGCCTAGCATACAAAAAGGCGATGGCAGGCCAACAGTAATGGAGGTAACCCAAATAAACCTCAATCATTGCGACATTGCTCAGCAACTTGCAGGCACACAATGTCAAGGTTTTGGCTGTTGACGAAGGCTCGCAAAGCGTTATGCTTCGTCGGGCTCGTGCTGGTGTTGATGTTAATGGTAGTGACGTTGTAGGATGTGAGAGACATTATGGAATGTATTACTCAACCATCTCGTTGTCTTCGTCATCGCGGCGGGGCTTTTTGAGGATCGGTCGCCCTCGACTTCGTCTGCTGCTCGTGGAAGTGTTTGATTCGTCTGTCTCATTGTCGTTAGATTTACTGCGTGGAGGTACACCACCAGGCTTTTTGAACAGCTCCACCGAATCCGAACTGATATCGGTCACCTTGGTGAGCGTTCTCGACAATGCTGGAGGTTGTGGTTTTGTTATGTGTTGGGGTCTCCACCAATCGTGGCGGCTTCGGGGTCGATGGTTTTCGCAGCTGTTGCTGTTGCTGCTGCTGCTGTGGTCCCGTTTGCTTTGCCACATTAGCGTAGCTCTTCTGGACCAGCAGCTTTTTATTTTGTACACACGAAATACCCGTGTGTCTGCTCGTGGCAGCGACGGCACGACTGTAGTTGACCCTTGTGACAATGTATGCCTTCACTCCGTCGATAGTGGCCCACGAATCGATATTTCGTTCTACCACCATGCGGACAGACCAGATTCCAAGCGGCACGCTACCGTACTCGTGACCTTCACCAAACATAAGTTCCCGGATTGAAAGCACTTCGCCATACCGACTGAGGAATTCGAGAATCCTCTCTTCCGACACACCTTCGGGAAGATCCCACACACGCACTTCGACACTTCCATCTTCCATGGTAATACGTAGCTTGTATTTTTTTTCCACTGCATTCCACTTCGTGCTTTTCGTCGTGTTCATCGACAACTTGTTGAGCCAAAGCTAGGTCAGCGACCTTGACGAACGCGCATGATTCACCTCTATGGCACTGTAGTCTCTTCACATCTTCCCTCTTCAGACCAAGTACCGTACGGCAAAAAACGTTTCCTAACTGTCGCTTAGAACGAGATTGTAGGATCGCTTTGCGAGTCTTACATTCCTAAAAATTGGATTTGCGGTTTTCACCACAATTTGAACATTTAAATTTCTTAGGATCTTTCTTCACAGGGCAGTCGTCCTTTGCATGAGAAGATCATGAGAAGAATCACCACAATTCATGCATTTAGCAGACATGTAGCAATTTTTGGTTCCGTGACCCCATCCCTGGTACTTACGGCACTGGGTGAGGTTTTGGAAATTTTCTCCAGTCTTCCTGAAATGTTCCCACTTAACTTGGACATGGAACATAAGGCTAGCTTTTTCCTAAAGGTTGTTTAGTTCACTAGACTTGAACTAAATAAAAATCATTAGAAATCCCGTAGCGCGAATCGCCAGGGCGGGATTTAAGTTTCATTTTGATTACTTAGAGTGGCACAACTCCAAGTTTTTTTGATGCAGGGATTCCTTTCAGTTTTGGTGTCGTAAGTAAAAAAATTGTGCTGTTTCTCAGTAAGAAACTTGAGAAGACATTTGATTCCGTCCAAGGTTTCAGCCAATACACGGCATTCACCCCGACGGCCAATTGGCAGTGAAAACTTAAATTTCACGAAGCTCAAAAGTTCCGTGCGAAGAGCATGGAAATCGGAAATGGTTTTCACAATATGGGGAATCTTTTTCTTCTTGGCATTAAGTCGGGAAGCCTAAGGCTAAAAATCACTTAAATAAAGTCTAAAAAAAAAAAATTAAGCCGGGAAGTTTACTAGAATTTTTCCTGGATGAAGGATCATTCTCATCATCAAATTGATTGCTCAAATTAATTTCATTAGAAGGGAGAGAGACTGCCCTTTTCTTTTGCGCTTAGGCTCCATGGCTGCAGTAAATTTTGTTATCCAAATCGACTTCCAAGCAGATTACTATAAGAATCTGAAGGATCGAAGAGGAATTTTCCAAATCGATATCCAAGAAGGATTACCTCGGGTAGGGTTCAAACAAGGATCGAAGAGGAATAATAGTCAAACAAGGTAGAACATTTACAGATATATTGAACACTGAAAAGTGCTTTTTAAATTTGTTGTAGCTTCAGGTAGTAGTAACACTTCCTTCAGCAAAAAGCAAATAGATCCGCACGGCAAAAGAGCACGATGTGGTCTGAGTTTATCCGATTTAATTTGTAACTTTGTACGATGCAAATATGATAAATCGTATAAAGATCAAAGTTTGCATTACATACGATGGAACTTAAACATCATGTGATGAAATTCATTGTTATATGCGATTTGGACTAAATCTGTTGTATTTTACGATTCGATCTGGCTGTGTGGGAATGCACATGATATTTTTACAATAGCCAAATTAATAATTTTTATCTGAAATTCACATAACATTCATATGATCACATGAATTCTATGTGATAAATCACATAAATTTCATTGGACACATAAGGTTCATGTGATTTTGTAGTGCGATTCCCAATTATGAGATCACATGAAAGTTATGTGATATTCTAATGGATATTTTCCATTGGAAATGTGATTTATTTTTTGAGTGTATCATAATCTATACTGCCCATAATCGCATATCAGTCCCATGTGGATAGGAAATCAAGCAAAGATGGGACTGATATGCGATTATGGGTTGTATGTATAGTATACATTGTATACATATCAGTATAGGATACGACATAGTTACAGACAATTTTTAGTGTCCGTTTAATAAACGGAAAAGTCGTTAGAACCTAGATGCAAAAAAAGGTATAGGACCATTAGGCTGAATTCCATTAGGCCGAAGACCTATAGGCGGAATGAGTCATTAGCCGAAAGCAGAATTCTTTAAAAAGAAATTTTGAAATTAGGTGTATCTTTGGATCAACTTTCTACACTCTGGGACTTTTAAAATATTCCAAGATCTTTGCCTGAGAGTGAAGATTAAAGAAATTACAATATTTAAACCTTAATTTTTTTTCATAATTCTGGATGTTTGAAAAAAAAATCAAAATCGTGCAATGTTGTGACTTTGAAAAATTCTGCTAATTTTAATTTTTATGATATACACAATATCACTTACAATTTGAGCTACAAAGAAAGATATAATGTGTGCAACTGCACTCAAAATAATTCACACGTTATTGTTACGTGAAAAATCACATACAGTCGCTCTATTTCCGCTTCTGTCAATTTTACGTGACACAAGTAGAGTCTACGTGATACCACATATGCATCAACGGAAATTTTATTTATTTGCGTGGAACAATTTCGTGTTGTAAGTATGATAACTAACCAAATTATGTATAGAATAACTTTTAAGTTTGTTTTTTAGTTTCAGTATATCGGCAAGAAGTACCATGAACATGAATCCGAGTTAAACTCCCTTACAATCATAAGGTTGTAACCAAGTTTCTGTTACTTGTCCCGTTCGAATTTATGTTCCCCCTATATATATATTGACCGCAATAAAGATATATTTGAATCAATGAATACTATAGAATCATTTGTAATGCGAAATCAATGATACATTTTATTTAAAACGAAATTAAAATCATTGGAGACGATTATAAATTCCATCGACAGAATCACGTAGCTTCTACGTGATAATCCAGTAACCATCTCGCTCACTGAAATTAGTGCTTCCATGTATGAATCACGTAACTCTTACGTGAAAAGTGCGATGGAAAAAATCTATGTATGTTTTCACGTAGCATTGACGTGAAAACTACACCGAAAAAAGTTTTCATATAGTTTCCATTGGGAACGCACATGATATTTTTCCAATAACAAAATTAATGATTCGTATCTGATATTCACATAACATTCATATGATCACATGAATTCTATGTGATAAATCACATAAATTTTATTGGACACATAAGGTTCATGTGATTTTGTAGTGCGATTCCCAATTATGAGATCACATGAAAGTTATGTGGAATTCTAATGGATATTTTCCATTGGAAATGTGATTTATTTTTTGAGTGTAGTTTGAGTGTGAGTATAAAAAAAGGTGATCAGTCGATAGCGAGTATAAAATCACAGCTAATAGGGTTACCGATAATTGAGTCTACCTATAATCGAGTTTTGTATCCAGAAAGAAACAACTCTAATACTAATGAATGGGAACAAAAAACTTACCTTAACATCCAAAACACGTTGTGAAACACATTCCTCTGTATTATCAGCCAGAGGTGTCGCTAACAATTCTTCTACACTTTTTGATATTTCTGAAAGGTTGATAGTCATGGATGCAGGATCATAAACCGCAGCACTAGAGAAGCTTTCAGAGGGCTTCGAAACTCTATGAAAAAGAAAAAAAAAACAGTTTAAACGTTTATATTGATTAGAAAAATGCTAGGGAAAATGTATACACACCTTTTGCAAGGAGACGTTTCTTTTAACATTGCAAGAATTTTTGTTGATTCATGTTCACTAAGCATATTGGCGGCTTCCCTGCTCCCACTTTTATTCAGGGAAACTAAATCAGCTATGGTTTTGTCGAAATGAATCGATAAATCTCGCATACCCTAGAAGAATGATAGAAATACATTAAAATATATATATATATATATATATATATCTATATATATTAGACTGATGCAAAATTTGACTTTTTCTCTCCACAGTGCTTAAATGGTTTCAAATCGGGTCGTGATTAGCCTCCAAAAGTTACAACTCATTTGGTTAGAAACAGACTTCGCACAAACCATTTGAAGTTTACATGTAAATTACTATGGGAAATCTCAACTTTTTGTTCATTGCCTTCTAGTCTTTTTCCATATTGAGCTGCAAAACAGCTCAATAGCTATTCTTATAGCTACAACTTTGCTGAAGATCGTTTCTATGTAAAACGAGACAGGAAATAGTTATTAATTATTTAAGAGATTGGTAAACTTATGACATGATCAAGCAGCTGCTCTGTAGGCAACACTGTATTTTGCAGTGTGACATAGTAGCCATAATTTTTGTGTCCTATTCAACACCCCAGAAACACCAATGTTGCCTGCTGAGTAGTTGATTGAGCATGATCATAAGACATCAGTGCATTGAACCATTAATAACTTTCGATCCTTGCATTAAATCAAAAAGTGGTCTTCAGCAAAGTTGTAGCTGGGAAAATTTCCTACAATTAAAATTGAAAGCTTTTGAAGCAAACCGATATGGTGAATTATTAGATAGACATGAACAAAAATCTTGGTTTTACCATAATAATTCCCATACAAAATTCAAATGGTTTGTGCCATCTCAGTTTCTCACCAAATGGGTTCAAATTTTGAGAGGTTAGTCAGGATCCGATTTGGAATCGTTTAAGTATTGTGGAGCGAAAATTTCAAATTTTGCATCACTCTAATATATATATATAAATGAATTTATGTCTGTCTGTCTGACCCTTATAGACACGGAAACTACAGAACCGATCGGCGCGAAAATTTGTATGCAGGGGTTTTTAGGGCAGGGAAAGGTTCTTATGATGGTTCGAGACCCCTCCCCTATCTGTAAAGGGGGGCTCCCATACAAATGAAGCAGAAATTTCTGCATGACTCGAGAACTAATCAAGCAAATGGAACCAAATTTGGCATGTGGAGGTCATAGGGGGTAGCCCCTTAGATAAGGGGGGGGAGGGCTACGTACAATATAGCATGCTTCTTTTTTTAATTGGCGCATAAACTCAAGTTAATATTGAATCCCGAGCAAGGCCGGGCACGCACTGCAAAAAATCGTCACGCAACCTGTATATGTATATATAAATGAATTTCTTTATGTCTGTATGACCCTTATAGACTCGGAAACTACTGAACCGATCGATGTGAAAATTTGTATGCAGGGGTTTTTGGGGCCGGGAAAGGTTCTTATGATCGTTCGAGACCCTCCCCCTCTGTAAGGGGGTGCACCCATACAAATGAAACATACATTTTTGCATAACTCGAGAACTAATCAAGCAAATGGAACCAAAAAGCATCTGGAGGTTTATGAAAGTAAATTAAATTTGGTTAAATTTGTAACTGGTTACCGACTAAGAAGTACCCTTCATTGGATAAATCGTCCAGCTCAAATCTTTTCATCATTCACCTTGATAAGCCATGTGATCGTAATTTTAATATAATGTATTCATTTCGAAATTGACGATTCACCATGCACACTAGAATTTTTTTTACTAAGTTGCCCAACATCCGGAAGGTATCGACCTACTGAATAATTTTCCCGAAGATAGTATCCTATACAGCGAATCCAAACACATAAAGCAACCAACGATACAGACAAAACGGTTGCTACGATTATCATGACAAACTCGCTCTATAACATAGCTCGATCCGAGTGGTAAAAGGATAATGATATATTGCTTGCCTGCTTTGTTGCAATATACACGGATGAGGACATAGCTTGATATCAATCGAGAAAAGACATAACAAAAAAAAATTCCCATTAAAACACGTGTATCATCTTCTGCTCTACTTCGTGAAGCAGTTTTCCAACAATTTGCTCGTTTCCTTCTACCGCCCCGAGTAAATTGTGTCGCACGGGCTGCTTGTCATGAAAAAGAACGAAGAAGATTATATCATTATTGCTTTGCACTTCTGACATAGCGTTATTATTCGGTTCGTTGATCGCTTGTCATTTTGTCATTTGGAGATATTTTTGATTCCTTGATCCTATATATATGACCAGGATCATGTGATATTTCACGTTGGAACAAATAAAGTCAAATTCTATATGGACATGTACCACTTTTCCTCGCAAAGAAATGGCCATTGTTATATGTATCAAAAATTAATTTGTTCATAACATGTGTTTAAATTATCAAATTTCATTCTTCTGTGATTTTTCTAGTAGAACTTTGCATTCTAATGCCGTTTATGCAAAAAAAAATCAAAATTGACAAAAATGGCTCCCACTCCCAACGGTTCATATGAGTAATGGCAAACCGTTAAGTCTGATGTGTAATAGATTTTTCAATTACTAATAGTTTACTTTGTCTTAACTAAAAGAGAGATTTTCCCTTCGTTCAAACATGAGCTGTTATTTGGGGATTTATTGTCGTAGTGATTCATTGGAGCATTAGCATTAGAAGGGCGATGTAATAATTAGGGTGGTTCAAAATATTGACTTTGCTCCACCAAACTCAATCTATTCTAAATCAGGTCCTGATAATTTCCCAAAATTTGAGCTCATTTGGTTGCGATCTCATGTTGCAATGGTCCTTTGAAATTTATATGGGAATTACTATGGGAAAGTGAAATTTATGTTCTCCTCGTCGTAGCCTTTCGCCATAATGATTTACGCAGAGACCTGACTGGCAGCCACGTTTTTTATGATATCATCTGCTCATGTCTTTCTGCTTATAACACGATTTTCCGTCCCTTTCCACAATGTATCCGTATTTATATAAGGCCTGCCTATTGCCAAAGGTACACTCAAATATACATAAAGCTTAAAAAGTATGCACCTTATTGAGTTCGAGCCATGATTACTTCGGCAGTAGTCAGGCATGATTAAATTCAAAATAATCAGTTGTGGTAAAATTTATCTTTGCAGTGTTAAATTTTATTCTTTTAGAATATTATTATATAATGGTTGTATATAAATGATTAAAGTACAATGCAACAAGATTAAAGTGGAATGAAAAATGATTGAAATATATTCAAACAAGATAACTTTCAATTTAATCAACCAATTAATTATATTATTAATTATATTATAAATTCAAATTAATTAAACTGGGTTTAATATCAAATGATTATTTTTTAGCAAAGAGATAACTAATTTTTAATCATTCGGTATGATTAAACCGCATTTAATGTAAAATTGATTAAATTTTAAGCAAAATTAGATAGTTTAACAACCCTTTCCTATCCCTACCAGTTGTAAGGACGTGGCCAGGACAATCCTTAACTGTTGGAGCGGGATATGTCTTTATTTGGGAGATGATAATTATTTCCTACTTACTATCTGTCCAGTAATAGATATCCGTCTTGCTCTTAATAGTTTTGAATTCGTACCATCTACGATATTGTGCAACTTATTCGATGCTAATGCTAGTGCTTAAATTGTTTTCCCTCGACTCGATTATTCTCTCAATACGCGTTTTCAATAGAGGTTTCTGATATATGCGGTTAAAGCATTTGTGTTCAAGTACTTACATTTGTAAACAGCAGTCAATCTTAATCTATAAACGTGACTATCAAATCGATCTCTCCTTATGTGGTATTGATGCATGTTTAACTTTTCGCGGCTGTCGGATTCTACGCGCCTACATCTACGGAGCTTACGCAGAAGTCATTCGGAATTCGGTAGAGCTTGCCAAAAGTTTTTTGAAGTTATGTAGTTTAGAATTTGTTCGGTACGGTCGCAAATTTTTGAAATGATTGATACGTGCGGTAAAATAATTAATTTGAAAAAAAGCTCAATAGTCAAATAAGTAGAATATCTAAAGAGGAAACCAACATTAATCAACTTGCCAACATAGGCTATCACATATATTTTGGTGGCACTCTTTAAGTGATAATAAGCTCTACGGCTGTCTCGCGCGGCGTTCGCAATTTGCGCGATTATCATATCTTACGTATTTTAGATGTTTAGCTCTAAACAATTTTACTGATTCGAGGTCGTTCCTTAAGCGGTTTTGGTGCATGTTGAACCTTTGGCGACTGTCGGATTCAACGCGTCTACGTCTATGGAGCTTACGCAGAAGTGATACGCGATTCGGTAGGGCTTGTCAAACGCTTTTGAGCTTATGCCGTATAGAATTTGTTCGGTACGATCGCGAAATCTCTTCCGTTAAATTAACTAATTTTATACAACGATCAGTAGTAAATAAGTAGGTAGAATATCTAGGGAGGAAACCAAAATTAATCAACTTGTCAACATAGGCTATCACATTTATTTGGTGGCACTCTTTTAATGATCTTTTTTTCTTGCTTCGGTTGTTTCGCACGGCGTTCGGAATTCTCGCGGTTTTCGTAACTTACATAATTGAGATATTTCGTTTGACACGGATTTACTTCTTCAATCGGATTACTACGCGGATCTACGTATCTACGAATCTACGATCTATGTACACACGTCACAGCATGTTTTCTATAACTATCTTGAAACAATACACACGGAATCCAGTGTTCAAGCTGCCAACATAGGCTAGTCCTTCTGCTGTATTGTCAAAGATAGAAGCAAAATTTATTCAAATGGGTCAAGTCTTGAAAACCAAGCTGTCACGCAGCTCCAGCAAAAAAAAAATAAATCATCTGCAGTAAAAACATTCCTTTTTGTGAAAAAAAAATCCACTCGAAAAATAGAGGCAAAGAGCGGCTTGTGCTTAGTAGGCCCAAAAGTAGATCTAAGCCCTACATTTTCTCACTGCACATTGGACAATCTCAAACAATCAATACACGCTAAAAACAAAACAGGCTATTTTGCTACGCCTATTTTGCTTCTCCCTCTTAACCACTTAAAACTAGAGAACAACGAATAGAAGATTAGGAATCACGTAGATGCGAAATAACTTCCTACCTAGCTCATTTTTCCATGTCTT